ACAGCTCAACCTATCTACAAATACCACTACTCCCCCTTTGCAGTCCCTCAATACCAGTTGGTCCGCATTACTTAGTTTTCTTATGGATGTCATTTCTACATGGCTATCAATTAAAGGAACCACCTGAAATTCAATATCACTACAGTAAACCCTTAAGTTTAGATTCAGGTGTTACCTAAAGCATTGTTTTACAAATGGGTAACTACACAAGTGGAAGATGAACACGCTTCTTCAACGAAACGCTAGGCCTCCGAATGCACATGTTCTGCCCAAAATACATGTGGATGGTGTGCCACTTGGAATTATTGTCAATAAAATATCACGATTTATTTGCAACCAGTTAAAGCGAATCTCCGAGACGTGGATGGTTTCAGTTAAGAATTCTTGTGAATTCGTTAACTTGCTTGACGATCAGGAGATAGAAAGTGGGGATTTGCCGACAAGTTTTGATGTTGAGTCTATGTACACTAACATTCCTGTAGATGATGCCATACAGGCCCTGCAATTCACACTAGGCCGGCATGTGGAGATTTTTATTGAGCACGAAGTTAAGTAAATGGTCAATAATAATACTGACCAACCTAGAGATGTATTGTACGAACACACACGACGTTTAGAGATGGGATCGTGTTTGTCACCAATTTAAGCAATGTCTAATTCGCGAGGCCCTTTTAGTTCCTAAATTATTAGTTCGCTATATGAAAGATTACTTTGCTATTTGGCAACATGGAAAAGAGAGGTTAGAGAATTTTCGTGGTTTGATGAACAGGATCGATTGGAAGATGAAATTAGCCATTGAGCTGGGAAATGAAGATGTTCTACCTTTTCTTGATGTTCTATTTAGCGAAGAAAAGGGCAGACTAGGTCAAGATGTGTATATAGAAAACCCACAATTGCAGGTTTCCTTTTGAATCTTCCAAGCACACTTATGGGGTTAAAATAGGAGTTATGAAATCTATGATAATAGGGAGCCTGTGTTTGGCAGATGTCGGTCATCGGGACCAGGAATTGAAGAGACTAAGGCGAATTCTGGTTGATAATGCTTATTCACGAGCACTGATTGACAATTATTTTAGAATATTGTCAAATAGGAGTTGTTTGATCTTGTTTTCGCAACTTGGTCATGTTGGTAGGAAGACTTATGACGAAGTTGCGAAAACAAGGTCAAACAACTTCTATACAACAGAAGCAGACTGCGACCACAAACAAAGACTACACCAGCTTGGTCTTCATACTTTTGATTGTCAAATGGGATTGAGGGGTTACATCAGGAACATTTATAAAGAGCAAATAACACTATCCTCGGTATTGCCTTTTTTCGAGAATACTCTAACCCTCTCTTCAGATCTGTTGCAAGATTTTGTGTTCATGCAGTGGCCCATATGCAGGAGAGACCTGTAGGTCCGTACAGAAGAGTTTATTCGAACACAAAACAGCCTGCAAGAATATTTGTGACCAAAGATCGGCTCGTTCAGGACACCAGATGGATTGGTCTAATGTCAAATGCATATCTGGCTATAGGGACTATAGCAGTAAGCGGACAATTTGGGAATTATCGTTAAGCCTAGTGTCCTGCTTTGACGACTCGCATAAAACTACAATCATAGCTCAAAGACAATCCCCACATAGCTTCTTGTGCAGCCACTGGATCCTTTTGAGGGATTCCAGGATAGGCACTAAATGTTGGGAAATTTGTAGATACCAAGCATAATTGGGTTTAAATGAACCGTCTGCGGTAGCATTGTTGGGGAGACTTTCATTTAATATGAAAGGGTATGAAGAATAGATTCGATTGTCTATTCCACAGGAGAATACAGCCAATTCCCATGGTACTGCAGCCGTTTGACTTTGATACGACCGTTTTGGACAGAAACTGGCCGAGCTTTCGCCGATCATATGATGCACATCGTCAGAGCTGTAATTCATTCTTGTAAAAGGCTCACGTTAACAAACGCTAAGTCAGATATGTTGGAGTACCGTTCATCTCGTTTTAAAAGGCGAGTGGAAGAGACTCGTAAGTGGTTTCCACCAGAGGATGGAGGAGGTTGCCTTGGAGCTGTGCTTGTAGGTTTGTGCGAAGAGGTCCTCGGCGCACCGCCCTGCCACTTTGATGGACCCTTGCTGAGCTTTTGTCCGTCATGTGACGAAGACAAGAAAGGTGGACGTACGTAGCATGTACGGATAGCAATGTTTTCGAGAATCATCACTTACAATAAGACCAAGAAAGCTATGGTCCGAAAGGTCAGCCATATTCGTTTTTTGAAATTACATTATACGCGTAGGGTTGATCCTAGCTTTGGTATTATTGATAGACCAAAATTGCCTGAAATAGCCAAGCGAATCCATCAAAGAGAATACCAGATATTATTTAATGTTAGTACCAAAGAAAACATTATAAAATTGCACCCCTTGATGGGGAAGAAAAGCAGTTTACACCAATTATTGGCAAGCATCTTTGGCTTTTAAAACTACGATGCCGGCTAAATGTCTGAGAATGTACCAAATCCACTGTCTGAAGCTGGGAAGCATGACAACTACTATGGCAGACGACTTCGGACTAGGTGCGTTCTACAT